AAGGGCTATCAGGATTATATCTGGCTCTCTACCACGGTCTCATTCATCCCATCTATTCTCAAACTTAAACTTACTGAAACTCAAAGATATCAATTTATTCCAAGAAGGCTCATTTATGTATTCTGCAACGCATTCTCTTCTTCCAACTCAGTTTAACGATATATTTATTCTCAATCACTCTATTCACAATTACCGTACCCGATCAACTAGAGTTCATATACCCATTCATAATACAAATCACTTTCAGCACAATATTAGATACTCAGGTCCCACTTTCATCAACAGCTTACCATCCACAATCTTAAATTCCGTTTCTTCTAAATCTTTTTCCACAAATCTTCTAAATCTTTTTCCGCAAAGCTTAAAAAACACTTGATCTCAAATTATTAACTAGGCCTTTGATTTACAGTATCGGTCATTTCTCGATGTGTCCCGCTATGATCAAAGATTGATTGATTGATTGATTGATTGATTGATTGATTGATTGATTGATTATTTTTTTGTGTGTGTTACTTTTTTAGTATTTATTAATTCTGTTATTATTGTTCAACGAGTTTTCATATGGTTTTTTTTTCAGGCTTGCCCAACTCAAGACTTCTCTTTTCGGGCCGAGCCTTCTTTCATTGCATGTTATCATTCTCATTTTTTTTTATCATGGTATTGTATACTGTTTTTGTAACTCATGCCAATGAAAGAAAATAAATGTTAGTATGTATGAATGAATGAATGAATGAATCTATTAATAAGACTTATCAGATTCAGACGATGAAGACGGGTTTCATATACAACAAATGAAATGTTTAAATTAAAATTGGCCCTGGGAAAATTCCATAGAACATTCTAGTCTAGTATGATTTTCATCGACTCTGTATGCAGGTAGTCCCTGAAGTGGGGACTTAACCTTAACCCGGGAAGTATTAAAGTACGATCACTCGTTAACAATTCCTATGCTTTTTATGAAATAATTACGAATGATTGTAAGATTTCATACTCAAAAAATATCTTTAATTGTTTGTTGATTTTAAAACTTACCGTACGTTTCCTGTACATTTCAAAGAAGCTATATAAAGCAAATCACATGTTACCAAACCCCCGTGAAAACTTGTAATACCTCACAACATTGACTAAACCGAAGTTTCATTTTATCAAGCTCTAATCGGCCATTCATTGGTTCACATGTCAGTAGTGTCGAATGAATTTATCATCGTTTATGCGTTTTAATTCCGTATACAATCAGGAGATCAACTTAATTTTCACATCACCTAAATTTAGTGGAGTAGCTTTGAGCATAAAATTGTTTGGAGGGCTAAACTTCAATTTGTATTTAACACTAAGGACCACAAGCAAACATATAGTAAAAAAAATCAGTGTGCAAATATTTTCGTACACTGATTTTATATTGCTTTATGCTACAGATGTTTGGCGTAAGACCGTAACATGGATTTTTCTAGTCAAAGAAGAGCTCTCATTATAATTCCAATATGAATATCATATTTTGGTTATGATTTCATTTCGTGGGGTTTTTTTCAGTGTATGTAAATACTACAGGTTAATGTGTTGTGATTGGTTAAGGATTTAGATTAATCACTCATACAAACTCTCAGCTGCAGTAGTCATTTACCAATTGAACTGATTTACAGCAAAACATGGCTACCCGTTGTGATATAAGATGGAATTAGGAATCCTAAAATAATTCTCCGGGAAGCAATGATTCCATAATATTTCATAATGGAAACTCGAAAATAAGTCATCTGTTTGATACTGAATTTTATTCCATTGTCTATCAAGTTATGTATAAATATACCTTGTTCTTCATACGGCTATTCGCTCCGACGTCTAATAGGGCTTTTGTACCATGATGGTGAATGAGAAATGTGTGGTTCGCTGACACCAAATAGTGAAGTGGAGTATTGCCAAGCTATAACAAATACAAAAAAATGACAACGGTAATTAATTAAATCCTTATTAGACAATGTAATTAAAATAGAATAGAATAGAATAGAACATTTATATGGCGCCGGTATCCGCCAATGTTTTATCGGTTATATGCAGCACAGAAGAGTAATGTTTTCAGCTCTCTCTTGAAGCTTCCAAGATCCTTCCATTACTTCCATGAAATCACTTCCATGGATGATACCTTAGAAGAATATAGAAAGTATCCGCTAAGGGAGAATGGAAGTAAGGATGTACAAACCATAGTTTACACAGCAGATAGATGATGATGATGATAATAATAATAATAATAATAATAATAATAATAATAATAATAATAATAATAATAATAATAATAAATATCAATAATAATAATGATAATAATAATAATAATGATAATAATAATAATAATAATAATACTGATGATAACGATTATTATAACGATTATGATAATGATGATAATATAGTAGCGATTATTATAATAATGATGATGATGATGATGATATTTATAGTAATAATGATTGTAGGCCTAATGATAATAATAATAATAATGTATTAAATACAGTAATAATAAATAAATATCAATGTAAACCTGGTTTTGCCAATCCACGCGCGTACTAGAAATTCCCAAAGCACGATGTAGCGCATCTGTACGTCCATAAAGAGCCAGTAGATGTAGAATACTGTCATCAAACTACAAACAAGGAATAACGTTACAGAAACAACACATACAAAATGAAATATTACAGTTTTGACTGTATAAAATGGGCCCACACAAAATAAAAGCAGTGGTATGTAGGCCTACGCCTATTCTAAAAGTAAAATCTAAGAGTAGGCCGTGACCATACGCTGCAGTAAACAAAGGTTCAAATACATTTCTTCAACGACTGTAGGCCTATTCCATATAGAACTATATCAAATCATTTTACTAATAATAACAATTTATGTGACGAGAAGCGGAGGGAGATAGGCCTACATTATTATTTGATTTACTTTATAGCCTATTGCATAACAGAATATTATAGGCACGCAAATGGAGTGTTTCACATTTAACTTTTTCAGTGTAAAATGTTTCATTAAGCCTCCACAAAACGTTTATGATACAATCCACTCACGGGGTTAACGTCGTCGACAGCTTCTTCTGTTGCAACGTCTAAAAATTCCAGCACAAGACTTTCTGGCGCGTAGTCGGACGACACTAACCAATATAATGACGTCATGCCACCCTTAGAAAATTAAAAAAAAATCTTTTATTCCAAAAGTGGCGGATCCAGGGCACATCTAAATGGGCACTCTCCTTCCCATCCCGAAAGCAGTCGAAAGCACTAACCATGGTATGAAATAATTAAGGGGGAAGAGTCCCGGAACCCCTAAAATAGGTAAGGGAACATCCCAAAGCTTTTCTCTTTTCGCCAGGTCCCATCCATTTCGATGGTGTCTGCTTAAAAATTTTCCAAATGAACCACATCACGACAAGCCAATTTGCGTGTATTAACAAGAATACAATAACAAAATATAAAACAAAAATTAATAGGTCAATATAAAATATATTAGGCCCTACAAGCACTAGGTCTATTGACACAACAGAGAATTTCAAAAACCGAAAGGTCCACTGATTAATCTCAGATACGATAGTATAATACCTACTCCAAGTTGTATCGAAATGCAAGCCATCGTGTCGGATTCAATATTTAGACATCAATTATGTCATCATAATCTGTTTATAATTTAGATTACAAAAAATATCATTCCGCTATTTAGTCAAAACATTTTGTTCACAACGTTTAGGTCTATTCTTGTCTTTTTAATACTGTACAGTTCCATTAGGTACTTTAAGTATGATTAACTGATTGTAATTAAGGGTAAAAATTGTTGAAAATGATAATTCAATATTCCAATATTCAAAATTATTATTGAATCATCAATGTGTAAAGCTGTGGTGAATAACTGATGTCGAAGTATTAACTAGATGTAAAAACATGGAAAACACAATGCCGTTTACATACAGATCTCCCATTTACGAGTAGTGGCTGGGCTCTTATCATGCATCTTAATTCATCCCATCGTTGTCTACGTATTGCGTCATGTAAATTGCCACTGTAATATTAAAATAAAACAATGTTGCAACATTTTGAAAGTATGAATCAGGATTCTACGAAATCCCATAGTGCCACCAATATATGTTCAGTAATTCGTAATTACGAATCACTAATTCGTTATTACGGATTAACTAATTAATTATTACGAATACGGTCCTATCCGTAATAATGAATTAATTAATCCTTAAAAAATTAGTATATTCGTAATTATGGATTAATAATCCGTTATTACGGATTATATTCAGCTGAGGATTTAGACCTGCTGTACATGTTTGTGGTGAAGGATTTCTTTGCAACAGAGGGATCTGTTGAATTGCTTGCCTAAATGTATTATAAATACATTATAGTTTTAATTTTCTTATAAGTTAAACCAAGGTGAAAATATAATCGAATTAAACCCTGACAACGAGTCGGCGGCATGTTTTCATTCAGTAGACTTAGCCTACCTGTTGCACTTTATAACAGTCTTTAATATTGACTCCTCCCGCTTGTTTATTGTGCAAACCAATCAGATAACTACGGTAATTAATTAAAGTAAGTAATTAATAGTCCGTATTTACGAATTAGTATTTCCGTATTTATGAATTACTAATCTGTATTTACGGATTATTAATTCGTTATTACGGATTTCTTCATTCGTTATTACATATTATTATTTCGTTATTACGGATTGTAGTGGATTATTATGATTGTAACATAGTGGGGAATTCCGATCATTTGTTTTTGTTCCTCAAAACGATTGCTGTAAGTAATAAAGAGTGAAATGGCTATTGACCTGATTAATTTGAGTGCTTACTTTCTGTTTTAATGATGGGTTTTCAAAACCAACCTGACACCGAATTGCACGATGTTTTATTTTCATGTTAGCATGTAGACCAGTAGTTCTAGGCCTATATTATAACACCGTGATATAACCAGGGAACAATTAATTATATTGGCCTATAAATAAACAGTGGCGTAACTTCTATCAGAAAGATAATGGCTGAATACATTACAAAGATTCATTAAAAAAATAGATGTATTATTTAACAGCCTGTTTACCACTAGGTCTAGTATAATAGGATACTAAATAGCAATTATTAAATACCCTCACCAAAAATAATTTAAAATTCCGGACGTGAAGCTAACTATTCGGCCTTGTGGTTCGTTCAAACAATAACAGGACGGAAACGGCGATTATTATTATTATTCGTCAAAGTATCCTTTTCAATACACTTCTGATTTTATAGTCACACAACATCATTGGGGTGGGAGTACGTTCTAAGTTGTGCCAAGACAACTTAAAATGGCAAAAAATCGAACAGCTTCGGTTTTTTAAAAACCCATATACACCAACTAGTGCGCTTCACCTCTGAACATGGTCGTAACTTATCAGACCGCCCTTATCGAATTCTGGAGCCTCATGAAAAATTATTATTTGCTATTTAAAAAACGAAACAAAAACCGATCATTGTTCCTCGAAAATGAAAATAATGGGGATTTGAAAGCTTGTTGTCGAAGCCTAAGATGAGGTGGAAACGTAATGGCTGAATACATGACAAAGATTTACTTTAAAAAGAAAATTGATTCATTATTTACCAGCCAGTTTATCACTAGGCCTAGTATGTAGGATAATAAATACCCTCACCAAAAGTAATTTCAAATCCCGGACGTGAAACTAACTACAATTTTTATTCGGCCTTATGGGTCGTTCAAACAATGACAGGACGGAAACGGCGATTATTATTATTCGTTAAAGTATCCCTTTCAATACACTTCTGGTGTTTATTCTGAAACAGAAACACACCGGCTTGTTATGTCCCGACATGCACA